AAAAAAAAAAAAAAAAAAAAAAAAAATACTAAAGGCAATTAATACTAATTGGAGTTACTAATGGTTAAACCTGGTTTGGGCCCAAAAGGTTATTTGGACCCAAATCAGAAAGGCAGTTACCAGAAACTTGTGTTTACCCACCAACAAAGAAATGTAATAGCAACGAAAACAAGAAACATGGAAATTAATTTCCAGTTTTAAGAGCTAATTTTTTACCAGCTTGGGCAACATAGGGAGACCCTGTCTCTACAAAAATAAAATTAGCTGGCCATGGTAGTGCACACCTTTAATCCCAGCTACTCGGGAGTCTGAGGTGGGAGGATTGCATGAGCCTGGGGGTCAGGCTGCAGTGAGCTGTGATTGTGCTACTGCACTGCAGCCTGGGTTACAGACCAAGACCCTGTCTCAAAACAAAAGAGTTAATAATCTTTCTGGTTACATTATATACCATTTTTAGGCCAGACGAGGTGGTTCGTGCCTAAAATCACAGCAGTTTGAGAGGCTGATGTGGGCAGATCATTTGAGTCCAGGAGTTCCAGACAGCCTGGGAGACATGGTGAAATCCCATCTCTACAAGAAAAGGCAAAGATTAGCTAGGCACAGTGGTATGCACCTGTAGCCCCAGCTACTCGGGAAGCCGAGGTGGGAGGATCACTTGAGCATGGGAGATAGAGGTTGTAGTGTGCCAAGATTGTGCCACTGTACTTCAGCGTGGATGATAGAGAGAGACCCTGTCTCAAAAAAAAAAAAAAAAAAAGCTACAAATTTTAAAGTGGTAATAACACTTGTTATATAGAAAAATAGAGTAGGCCATGGGTGGTGGCTAACGCCCATAATCCCAGCACTTTGGGAGGCCGAGGCATGTGGATCACTCAGGAGTTTGAGACCAGCCTGGCAAACAGGTTGAAACCTTGTCTCTACTAAAAATACAAAAATTAGCTGGGTGCACCCCTAGTCCCAGCTACTGGGGAGCTGAGGCATGAGAATTGCTTGAATCAGGGAGTTGGAGGTTGCAATGAGCTGGTATTGTGCTACTGCCCTCCAGCCTGGGCAACAGAGTGAGAGCCTATTTCAAAAAAAAAAAAGAAACAAGAGAAAGGTAGTGTAAAGGGCATCAATTCCCACTTTCTGTGTAAAGCACTGAGGGAAATTTTGGAAGATTGTTATCGCAAGGTAATTTTTTGTTTCCTTTGAAAGCTAATTTACCTTAATAAATTATAAATATATGCTTTCCAGTTGCTGGGGCTATGAGGGGGATAATTTATTTGTGTAAGGCAGTCTGGAGTACAGTGGCGCGATCTCGGCTTACTGTAACCTCTGCCTCCTGAGTTCAAGCAATTTTCCTCTCTTAGCCTCCCAAGTAGCTGGGACTACAGGCGCATGCCACCACGCCTGGCTAATTTTTTTGTATTTTTAGTAGAGATGGGTTTCACTGTGTTATCCAGGATGGTCTGGATCTCTTGACCTCATGATCTCCCTGCCTCCGCCTCTCAAAGTGCTGAGATTACAGGCGTGAGCCACTGCACCCGGCCCTTTTTTTTTTCTTTTTTTGTTTTTTTTTCTTTTGAGACAAATTCTTGCTCTGTCACCCAGGCTGGAGTGCAGTGGTGAGATCATGGCTCACTGTAGCCTCAAACTCCTGGGCTCACGCAGTCCTCCCACCTCAGCCTCCTGAGTAGCTGGGACTACAGATATGTGCCAGCACACCCAACTAATTAAAAAAAAACTAGGGCCGGGCGCGGTGGCTCACGCCTGTAATCCCAGCACTTTGGGAGGCCGAGGCGGGTGGATCACGAGGTCAAGAGATCGAGACCATCCTGGTCAACATGGTGAAACCCCGTCTCTACTAAAAATACAAAAAATTAGCTGGGCATGGTGGCGCGTGCCTGTAATTCCAGCTACTCAGGAGGCTGAGGCAGGAGAATTGCCTGAACCCAGGAGGCGGAGGTTGCGGTGAGCCGAGATCGCGCCATTGCACTCCAGCCTGGGTAACGAGTGAAACTCCGTCCCAAAAAAATATGTATATATATTTAATAAAATATTCAGTAAATAAGTATTTAATAACATTTTCTTTTTTTGAGATGGAGTTTCGCTCTTGTTGCCCAGGCTGGAGTGCAATGGTGCGATCTCGGCTCACTGCAACCTCTGCCTCACGGGTTCAAGCGATTCTCCTGACTCAGCCTCCTGAGTAGCTGGGATTACAGGCATGTGCCACCATGCCCAGCTAACTTTGTATTTTTAGTAGAGACAGAGCTTCTCCATGTTGGTCAGGCTAGTCTCGAACTGCCGACCTCAGCTGATCCGCCGGCCTCGGCCTCCCAAAGTGCTGGGATTAAAGGCGTAAGCCATCTTGGCCAGCTTAACAATGTTTGATAAACAATAATCTCTTAAACAGGTTGAGACAACAAAATTTATGAAATTCGGTTTTATTGTCTTTATGTTTTTATGTCCTCTCCTGTTACCCTTAGCTTTTTCATTCGAAGTTAAAAAAAAAAAAAAAAAAAGGAGTCCTTTCTTATAAATTAAGGCAATGGAAAGTATATTTTTCTGGGAAGCAATTATTGTTGTTGACATTTTACCTAGAAATACTGTTCATCTTATAGGAAGGGTACTGGAGTGTGTATGTATCAGCCTGATATTTACCTTAACATGTTTTTCACTTTTCCAGCAACAACCCTTAAGGCCCAATTTAGTGGAAACTAGTTGTCCCAACATACGGATGGATCCAAAATTATGCCCTGCTGATCCAGACTGGATTGCTTTTATACATAGCAATGATATTTGGATATCTAACATCGTAACCAGAGAAGAAAGGAGACTCACTTATGTGCACAATGGTAAGGCATAATTCTTCAAATTTACTTTTCTGGACAGTGTTTTTAAAGTATAATTTGCTGCTTGCATTTTGAAATTAGATCACCAAGCTGAGTGATCTTTATATCTGAAATTCAAGTCTTTAAAATTTTAAAAAACAGAGAAAAGTATAGAGGATAACTGGTATGCACCACATGTATAATACTGCTGGTATACCACATGTATAATACATGTATAATACTGTTTTAATGTTCGTCTTCAAATAGTGAAACAAAAGAATCTCCAACATGATCTTTTAGCCTAATAAGACTGCCAGAATTTTCCCAAAACTGTTCTTATTAAAGTAAAATTTTAGGCTGGGCATGGTGGCTCATGTGTGTAATCCTAGCATCCTAGCACTCTGGGAGGCTGAGGCAGGTAGATTGTTTGAGCCCAGAAGTTCAAGACCAGCCTGGGCAACATGGTGAAACCCTGTTTTGACAAAAAGTACAAAAAGTTAGCTGAGCATAGTGGTGTATGTAGTCCCAACTACCTGGGAGACTAAGGTAAGAGGATCACCTGAGTCCAGGAGGTCAAGGCTATTGTGAGCCATGATTGCACCACTGCACTCTAGCTTGGCGACATGGTAAGACTGTCCCAAAATTAAATAAATAATTTTTTTTTTTTTCTTGAGACGGAGTTTCGCTTTTGTTACCCAGGCTGGAGTGCAATGGTGCGATCTCGGATCACCGCAACCTCCGCCCCCTGGGTTCAAGCAATTCTCCTGCCTCAGCCTCCCGAGTAGCTGGGACTACAGGCACGCACCACCATGCCCAGCTAATTTTTTTGTATATTTAGTAGAGATGGGGTTTCACCATGTTGACCAGAATGGTCTCGATCTCTTAACCTCATGATCCACCCACCTCGGCCTCCCAAGGTGCTGGGATTATAGGTGTGAGCCACCACGCCCGGCCAATAAATTTTTAAAAATTAATTTTGTTTTTGAGAAACAGAAAAACCAATTACACACTCTAAGAAACTACTTGAGGCTGGGTGTGGTGGCTCATACCTGTAGTCCCAGCACTTTGGGAGGCCAAGGCAAGTAGATCACCTGAGGTCAGGAGTTCGAGACCAGCCTGGCCAACATGGTGAAACCCTGTCTCTACTAAAAATACAAAAATTAGCTTGGCATGCTGGTGCACGCCTGTAATCCCAGCTACTAGGGAGGCTGAGGTGGGAGAATCACTTGAACCTGGGAAATGCAGGTTGCAGTGAGCTGAGATTGTGCCACTGCACTCCAACCTGAGCAACAGAGTGAGACCCTGTCTCAAAAAAAAAAAAAAAAAAAAAAAAAAACTACTTGAGACTGAGGCAGGTAGATCACTTGAGCCTGGGCAATGTAGTAAGAGCTTGGGCAATGTAGCAAGAGCTTGAGCAATGTAGTAAGACCTTGTCTCTACCAAAAAAAAAAAAATTAGCTGCATGTGGTGCCACATGCCTGTAGTCCCAACTAATCGGGAGGCTGAGGTAGAGGGATCACTTGAGTCTAGGAGGTTGAGGCTAAAGTGGGACATGATTGCACCAGTGCACTCCAGCCTGGGTGACAGAGCAAGACCCTATCTCAAAAAAAAAAATGTATCTTTCAGTTTTAGAGTGTCTACTTAGTTATTGTCATCAAAGGAAAAATAGAGCTTTGTAGAACTATATATATTGTGGGAATATTTAATTAGGTTTTATTGAAGTGGCTGTAATAATACTAAGCACTATTCAAAGCACAGAAGGATGTGGATGGTTTCCTCTAAAGGTTTCATACAAACGAAAGATGGGAAATAGTGAATTGCTTTTTCTTTGAACATGTGAATCAGAGTTTAAGATCAAGCACCACAGGCCAGGTGGAGTGGCTAACACCTATAATTCCAGCACTTTGGGAGGCCAAGGCAGGCGGATCACGAGGTCAAGAGATTGAGACCATCCTGGCCAACGTGGTGAAACCCTGTCTGTACTAAAAAAAAAATACAAAAATTAGCCGGGCATGGTGGCACATACCTGTAGTCCCAGCTGCTTGAGAGGCTGAGGCAGAAGAATCGCTTGAACCCGGGAGGCTGAGGTTGCAGTGAGCCAAGATTGCACCACCGCGCTGCTCTGGCAACAGAGCAAGACTCCATCTCAAAAAAAACAAAACAAAAGATTAAGCACTACAATGAAGATGATGACTGAAGATTCTTTTGTTGAATTTTTGTTTAATCTAATGTTCACAAAGCTGATTTACTGTCATCTTCCTTGATCATTATCCCCTTATCATCATCAATCATTAGTTAAATTAATTGTAGACATTATTTGGAAGTCACTGTTAGCAGATATGTTACAGATAGGAAAACAAAATGACACAGATTCCACTCTGAAGCTTGTTTGTTTTTTGCAAGAGTCTCGCTTTGTTGCCCAGGCTGGAGTGTAGTGGTGAGAGCTTAGCTCTCTGTAACCTCCACCTCCTGGGTTCAAGTGATTCTCATCCCTCAGCCTCCTGAGTAGCTGGGATTGCAGGTGCGAGCCACCACACATGGTTAATTTTTTTTTTTTTTTTTTTTTTTTTTTGGTGGCTTCTTTTCGTCTCCTTGTCTTAAGTGCGATGGCCTGGTCTCGGCTCACTGCAACCTCTGCCTCCTGGGTTCAAGCAACTCTCCTGCCCCAGCCTCCCGAGTACCTGGGATTACAAGATCCCACCACCACTCCTGGCTAATTTTTGTATTTTTAGTAGAGACAGGGTTTCACCATGTTGGCCAGGCTGGTGTTAAACTCCTGACTTCAAGTGCCCCGCCCACCTCAGATTTTCAAAGTGCTAAGCACAGGCGTGAGCCATGGCGCCTAGCCAAACATAGGGTTTTATAAGAGCACCAATGTGGGACAATGGTCAGGGAGGGCTTCCCAGAAAAGATGACACCTAAACTGATGCTAAGTAATGTCTATATATTATCCAGTACACTTCTGACAAGGGGACTACATGAGAAAGGCCTTGATGCAAAAGACATCATGGTATATGTGAGGAGTTAGAAGCAGTGTGAATGTCCTGAAGCGTAAGTTCTAGTCAAGAAGTAGCAAAATACTGGCAGATGAGCGCCAGGACAAGGGTCGTCTATATCTTCTGTAAATGAACGTGGACTTTATCATGACATGAGGGTCCATTGAAAAGTTTTAGCAGTTGAGTGGTGTGATCATAATCATCATATTGTTGATAAATTGTTCTGGATACTTTGTGGAAGTTAAATTTGAGAAGCATGGTTAGAGACAGGGACACCAAAGATTGACTGCAGCAGTTATCCAAGTTATATGGCCTAAAACTAGAGTACGGGCTAGAGAAAACGGGATGGAGTGGGAAAAATCCTCAGTTAAAAGTACGGGTTTTGGTGTTTAATGGGTCTCCCTTTGAAGTCAGGAAATCAGAACAGCTATTCTACCAATAACAGTATAAAGATTAGGTTGGTAGTTAGTAAATCTATTTTGGAAATCCTAGCCATTTTTTCATGCTTTTTTTTTTTTAATTACAAAAAAATTTTTTGAGACAGGGTCTCCTGTTGGCTCACTGCAATCTGACCTCCAGGGCTCCAGAAATCCTCCCACCTCAGCCCCACCAAGTATCTGGGACTACAGGTGTGTGCCACCATGCCTGCCTAATTTTTAATTTTTTTTTTAGAGACAGGATCTTATGCTGCCAAGGCTGGTCTTGAACTCCTGGGTTCAAGTGATTCTGCCACCTCGGGCTCCCAAAGTGCTGGGATTACAGGAGTGAGCCACCACACTCAGCCCATTTTTTCATGCTTTCAGCAAACATTGGACACTTGCTATGTACCAGTTACTGTACTGGAGGCTGAGACTACAAAGCTCTGATATAACTGTCAGAGTAAAGGCTTTTTTTTAGTATTTTTTTCTTGTGTAAAATGGTTTTCCACACAGGATTTGAAAAAATTGGCAGAATTAAAAATGAAAAGTACTAGCATCCTGCAGGATGTTATACTAGTGTTTTTATTCTTTATCATGTATGTAGGTATGTGGTATATTTTTGGGATTAGTAGAGTAGCTAAGAATACAGGTAGACCCTGGAGAAGTGGCTCATGTGTATAATCCCAGCACTTTGGGAGTCCAAGGTGGGAAGATTACTTGAGCCCAGGAGTTTGAGACCGGCCTGGGCAACATAGGGAGATCCTGTCTCTACAAGAAAATTAAAAATAATAATAATGAGCTAGGCATGGTGTCACACGCCTATTTCTCAGCCACTCGGGGAGCTGAGGTGGGAGGATCGCTTGAGCCTGGGAAGTCGGGTTCAATTGTACCACTGCACTCCAGCCTTGGTGGCAAATGAAAGCAAGAAACCCTGTCTCTAAATAAATAAATAAATAAATAAATGAAGAATATAGAACTGGTTTGAATTTCAGGTCTACCATTTATTAACTGTGTGGCCTTGAACGGGTTACTTAACCCATCTCTTAGTTTCTGCATCTGTAGAAACAGATGTTGATAGCATATCAACATACGGTTGTTATGAGGCTTTAATTAGTTGATATCTATCAAGTATTTAGGATAGTGCCTGAAACATGTAAGTGTTGTGTAAGTATGTGCTTAGATAGAAAGTACATAGGGAGTGAACGTCATCAGCTTATTCACAATAGGTTTCTAAGGGAAAGTCCACTTTAGATGGGCTTGGTCAGTCAGTATGTACATGTGTTTATTCTTTGTCTGGTGACAGAGAAATGTAAAAGAAATAAAACCCCAGGTTCTGCTCTCAAATGGCTTACTGAGAGGACGAGATGATACTGTTTATTCATTTAATAAATAACTTAATAATGGAAGTCTGTAATAAAAAGTAGGAAGATACAAATGAAAGTTATTTATCTTCATAGTCTTGGCTCTATTATTAATTCCAAAATTTAAAACACTTTGAAAAGTAGCTTAGTTTTCATTAGGTTGTTACTCAAACTCATTTGGCAGTAACATCTGACCTGAAGTGACCTGAGGATATTTATTAACTTAATATGCTCACCTACTTAGTGTGCCTATTCATAAGTTTGCTGCAGGAATATTGGTGTATTTGATTACAGGGTATTTGGTTACCCTACTGGAGATACTACATAATGTATTATGGTATATGTACAATATATGGTAAATCTCCCAAATTCTGAATTCCAAATACTTCTAGACTCAAACTGTTTGGATAAAAAAAATCATTGATTTGTACTGTACAGGCAAGTTTTAACTTGCCTGTAAAATTAAAATCAGGCCAGGTGCAATGGTTTATACCTGTAATCCTGGCACTTTGGGAGGACAAAGTGAGAGGATTACTTGAGCCCAGGAGTTTGAGACCAGCCTGGGCAACATAATGAGACTACATCTCTGCAAAAAATTTTTTTTAATTAGCTGGGCTTAGAGACACATGCCTGTGTCCCAGCTGCTCTGGAGCTGAGACAAGACGATTGCTTGAGCCCAGCAGGTCAGGGCTGCAGTGACCCAAGGTCCCACCCTACACTCTCCCTTGGGTGACAGTGAGACCGTCTCAAAAATAAAATAATAATTAGAGTTACTATGAGATATTATTACATGCCTACTAGACTGGCTAAAGTGAGAAATACTGAGAACACTAAATGTTGGAGAAGACCTTTATACCTTGCTAGTAAGAGTATAAAATAATATAAATACTTTGGCACTTTCTTTTGAAGTTAAACATACAATTACTGCACTAACCAGCCATACCACTCATAGGTATTTACTCAAGAGAAACAAAAACACATGTCCGCAAAAATTCCTTTTTCTTTTAAGACATGGTCTCACTCTGTCACCCAGGCTGGAAGTGCGGTGGCATGATCTCGGCTCACTGCATGCTCCTCCTCGTGGACTCAAGTGATTCTCCTACCTTAGCTTCCTAAGTAATTGGGACAATAGGTGCCTGCCAGCACACCTGGCTAATTTTCTGTTTTTTGTAGAGATGGGGTTTTGCTGTTGCTGAGGCTGGTCTTGAACTCCTGAGCTCAAGCAACCTTGGCCTCCCAAAGTGTTGGGATTACAGGCGTGAGCCACTATGCCGGGCCCACAAAAATTCGTCTACAATAATGTTCATAGCATCTTTATTCATAATAGCCAGAAACTGGAAAACAGGCAAGATATCCATTAACAGATTTAAAAAACTGTGATATACAATGTAATACAACTCAGCAGTAAACAGGAATTAATACTGACACATGTAACAATATTGATGGAACACAAAAGAAGCCAAACACAGGTATATACATACTGTATGATTTCATTTACGTGAAATTCTAAAATATGCAAACCTAACCTCAGGTGATAGAAATCAGATCATTGATTGTTTCTGGATTGGGACTCGGCCTTGACTGGGAAGGAGCATGAGAAAACATTCTTGGGTACTGTAAGTGTTGTAAGTGGTGATGGGGTGCGGTCATACAAGTATATGTATCTTTCAGAAATAAACAGTACACTTAAGAATTTGTAAATTATAAAGCAATTTTTAATAACCTTAAAATCTCACTGCTTGGACATAACCATATTTCAGTTTATATCAGCACTTTTTAAAATGTATTTATTTTTATAACATTTTATAAATGGAATCACAGTGTAAATACTATTCAGCAATCTGATTTATTTTACTCAAGTATATTGTAAACATTTCCTCATGACACAAAATCTTATATTATTATGGCTTTGTGGTTTTCTTTAAAGCAAGAGTCCGCTTCAGACTATTTGCTGGAAACCTAAGTGTAAAATGGATGAAAGCTGAGCTGCTCCAACTAAATGAGATGAAGGAAGAATGGTTGAATTATATGAACTATAAGATTGATTCTAAATCTAAGATGTACTTCCCTGTGTAGGAGAGTTACAAGTGTCCTCTATACTCTGCTCCTTTATATGAAATTTTTTTTCCCTTGATCCTAGCTAATTGGGAAAATACCTTTTATTTTTGAGACGGAGTTTCATTCTTGTTTCCCAGGCTGGAGTGCAATGGCGCGATCTTGGCTCACTGCAACCTCCGCCTCCCAGGTTCAAGTGATTCTGCTGCCTCAGCATCCCGAGTAGCTGGGATTACAGGCATGCGCCACCATGCCGGGCTAATTTTTCATTTTTAGGAGAGACGAGGTTTCTCCATGTTGGTGTGGCTGGTCTTGAACTCCCGACCTCAGGTGATCTGCCCACCTTGGCCCCCCAAAGTGCTAGGGTTGCAGGCTTGAGCCACCATGCCCGGCATAATAACATTTATTTGAAGCATGTATTGTGGTCCAGGCTTTGTTCTAAGTGATTAATGTGAATTAATTAATTTAATCTTCATATCAACCTCACAGGGTAGCCTCTTATTCTCATTTACAAATGGGATACTGCAGTGGAATGAGATTGGATGATTTGCCCAAAGTCAGACAGCACATAAATGATGGAGCCCAGATTTGAACTCAGTCTGCTTAGCTCCACAGTTGACCACTGTACTCTAGTCACCTTTCCAAATAAGCTGAATTCTTTTGCTTTGTCCCTATGAAAAGATAGCTTTCTGTGACAGTTTTGCCTTTTTTATTTGTCTAGAGCTAGCCAACATGGAAGAAGATGCCAGATCAGCTGGAGTTGCTACCTTTGTTCTCCAAGAAGAATTTGATAGATATTCTGGCTATTGGTGGTGTCCAAAAACTGAGACAAGTAAGGAGGTTCAAAATAATATATTACGGGTCAGTTAAAGTATAAGATTCAACTGTCAATTAGTTAAGTGCACAGATTCTAAATCTTGGATAATAGATTCCAAAGTAGATAATAGACTCCAAAGTAATGACGATTGGTTCATGCCAGTAGTTATTTAGAATATGCAGATCATATTTCATCAGAATGTAGTAAAAACAATTGTATTGTGGTTTAATGCCTCAGGCCCCTCAATTGTCTTCGTCAGTTTTTCTCTTAGAGGCTGGTCTTGGTAATGCTGGCAGCATTGGTGGCAAAATGAAAAATTCCACACCTAATGCGTTGCTATAAAAATGTGTGATTGACTAGAGAGTCTGGTAAACAGACCACCAGTCATTGTATGAACGGATAGGATAAAAGGGAGCAGATTCCTTCTTTTTCGGGGGGTGAATTCACAAGTATCTCACTCTGAGAAACAGTTCACTAAAGCATGGCTTTCAGTCTTTCTGATCATGATCCAGTTAGAAGTGCATTTATAATTGCGGCCTAATACATTGTACTTAAGCTGTATAGATAAAACTGAAAACAAATTTCAAGAAGCAATATTTGTTATTATTAATGCACCCTGATACTGTTATGTTACTATTATTTTTTGTTTGTTTTTGTTTGTTTTTTTCTTTGTTGAGACGGTCTGTTGCCCAGGCTGGAGTGCAGTGGTGCAGTCTCAGCTCACTGCAAATTCTGCCTGCCGGGCTCAAGCAATCCTCCCATCTCAGCCTCCCAAATAGCTGGGACTACAGGTGTGAGCCACACCCAGCTAATATTTGCATTTTTTTGTAGAAATGGGGTATTGCCATGTTGCCCAGGATGTGGTTTGTGTGTTATATTTTTTAAAATGCTGATTATGACCCATTAATAGATTTCAAGACCTACTCATGGTTTACAGCTAGCAGTCCTGAATGCTTCTCTAAGAGACCATGAAAAATACTTATTGTTAAGTCATGTATTGGATTTGGACGTTTTATTATAAGATATGAAATGTTTTGTTGTGTTTCGATTTGACACGAATAGAGAAGCTATTCAAAACAACTGAACTGTATTTAAGTAGCATTTGTGTTTTTAATAGGAAATATTGTAGATGTAATTAAATAATTCATTTTCAACAAAGAGTGCATTTTATAGTATGCAAAAACAAAGTCCTTCAAAAATGTTTTTCCCTGTTTTAAAAATACATGTACATATCATCTCTAGTTTTTTTCCCTCCAAAAGAAGTGGCTTAGCAGTAACTCAGCTTGCCGCTACAAAGACTAATGATATTTTCCTCCAAAAAAGCAGCATATTTATACATAAATTATTCTTCACTATAAGAGGGAATGGTTGGTTATGAGTACTCTCTGAAAATAATTCTTCTAAATTTTTAATATCTAAATTTCTTTTAAGCTCCCAGCGGTGGTAAAATTCTTAGAATTCTATATGAAGAAAATGATGAATCTGAGGTGGAAATTATTCATGTTACATCCCCTATGTTGGAAACAAGGAGGGCAGATTCATTCCGTTATCCTAAAACAGGTACTATACTCTACTGGCATTTATATTTACTCATTTCCTCTTTCCAAATAATATTCTTTCTGGGATCATCAAAAGGTATAGTCAACAGCATTTGTCACTTCCAGCCTTATTTACGATGGGTTGTTCACCAAGTATCGCAGTAATAGATTTTGAATTAAAGGGTGATCTCTTTTCATTCTTTTCAAAGGTAAGGATGTCTACACAATTGGTTTCTTTAAGGAATGAATTACAGGGTATCTTTGCGCTGGGCACGGTAGCTTACGACTGTAATCCTAGCACTTCAGGAGCCAACGCGGGTGGATCACCTGAGGTTGGGAGTTTGAAACCAGACTGACCAACATGGTGAAACCTCATCTTTACTAAAAATACAAAATTAGCCAGGCGTGGTGGCGCATGCCTGTAATCCCAAATACTTGGGAGACTGAGGCAGGAGAATTGCTTCAGCCTGGGAGGCGGAGCTTGCATTGAGCTGAGATCATGCCATCCACTCAGGCAACAAGAGCAAAACTCTGTATCAAAAAAAAAAAAGTGTCTTGGCTAGCAAATAAATATTTTTAAGTGATATTGTTCATGATAAGTATTTTTTTTCCGTTTTTCCTCGTACAGCATTTCAATTGTAAAAATTATATGTAATTTCACTTTATTTCATGCTAGCTTTTGTTTTTCAGCCCCCCTTTTTTTCGTTTTTGTTTTTTTTTTTTGAGATGGAGTTTCGCCGTTGTTGCCCAGGCAACAGTGATTGAGCAGTGGCTCAATCTCGGCTTACTGCAACCTCCGCATCCCAGATTTAAGCGACTTCCCCTGCCTCGGCCTCCCAAGTAGCTGGAATTACAGACATGCACCGCCATGCCCAGCTAATTTTGTATTTTTAGTAGAAATGGTGTTCTCCATGTTGGTCAGGCTGGTCTTGAACTCCCGACCTCAGGTGATCCGCCTGCCTTGGCTTCCTAAAGTGCTGCAATTACAGGTGTGAGCCACTGCGCCCGGCCTTTTCATTCTTTTAAATTTGTATTTCAATAGTGTTTGGGGAACAAATGGGTTTTGCTTACATGGATAAGTTGTTTAGCAGTGATTTCTGAGATTTTGGTGCACCCGTTATCCAAGCATTGTACGCTCTACCCAATGTGTAGTCTTTTTTTTTTTTTTTTTTTGAGACAGAGTTTCGCTCTTGTTACCCAGGCTGGAGTGCAATGGCACGATCTCGGCTCACCGCAACCTCCGCCTCCTGGGTTCAGGCAATTCTCCTGCCTCAGCCTCCCGAGTAGCTGGGATTACAGGCACGTGCCACCATGCCCAGCTGATTTTTTGTAGTTTTAGTAGAGACGGGGTTTCACCATGTTGACCAGGATGGTCTCGATCTCTTGACCTCGTGATCCACCCGCCTCGGCCTCCCAAAGTGCTGGGATTACAGGCTTGAGCCACCGTGCCCGGCCCATTTTATTTATTTTTATTTTTTATTTTTATTTTTTTGGGACGGAGTTTCGCTCTTGTTACCCAGGCTGGAGTGCAATGGTGCGATCTCATCTCACCGCAACCTCCGCCTCCTGGGTTCAAGCAATTCTCCTGCCTCAGCCTCCTGAGTAGCTGGGATTACAGGCACGCACCACCATGCCCAGCTAATGTTTTGTAGTTTTAGTAGAGACGGGGTTTCACCATGTTGACCAGGATGGTCTCGATCTCTTGACCTCGTGATCCACCCGCCTCGGCCTCCCAAAGTGCTGGGATTACAGGCTTGAGCCACTGCACCTGGCGAGCCACCATATTCTTAACTGAAGTGTAGAGAATTGATCTGGCAAAATTAATTTGAGTAATTTTGGATAAGCATTACTATTCATCTATGTCTCTTTCTTTCTTTTTGTTTTTTTTTTTTTTGAGACAGTTTTGCTCTTGTTGCCCAGGCTAGAGTGCAATGACATGGTCTCGGCTCACTGCAACCTCTGTCTTCCAGGTTCAAGTGATTTTCCTGCCTCAACCTCCCAAGTAGCTGGGATTATAGGCGTACACTACCGTGCCTGGCTGATTTTTGTATTTTTAGTAGAGGTGGAGTTTCACCATGTTGGCCAGGGTGGTCTCAAACTCCTGACCTCAGATGATCCGCCCACCTCAACCTCCCAAAATGCTGGGATTATAGGCATGAGCCACCACTTAAGTAAAATGAAGAGGATTGATCTGGCAAAATTAATTTGAATAATTTTGGATAAACATTACTATTCATTTATGTCTCTTTTTAAAGGTACAGCAAATCCTAAGGTCACTTTTAAGATGTCAGAAATAATGATCGATGCTGAAGGAAGGGTAAGTATAAAATGCTGAGTTGACCTCTGTGTCATTTGACTAATGTATTCAGTCCGGTTGGGTTCTTTGATATGCTTTCTTATTTTTGGACTTGTTGAACTTGCTAAGATATCTGTGAATCATGATTTTAGATTGACCTAATTTTTTACTTGCAAATCATCCTACTGGTTCATAAGATGGGAATATGGGATGTGCATATTAACCACTCCTTTCCAAGTTTGCCTTTATTCTCCAGATTAAAAAAAAAAAAAAAGGTAGTTATTGACTGGTGAGTTACCTTCTGTGTTGGGTAGATGTCTGTGGTACATTAAATATCCCACAGTTCACTTGTACTTGTAGTATTGCTTTCCATTTAAACAGCCAAATGCTTATAAGCTGCATGCATACAAGACTAGCTAAAAAGTAGTCTTCTCTTCTAGACTTTTTAAAAAACAGCTTTACTTATATATAACTCACATACAGTATGATTTATTTAAAGTTTAAAATTTAGTGGCCATTGGTATATTCAGTTTTGCAACCCTCACCACAGTCAGTTTTAGAATATTGTTCTTACCTCAAAAAGATACCCCATACCCCTGAGCCGTCACCCCCCAACCTCCTCATATCCCCCAGCACTAGGCAACCTTTTTTTTTTTTAAGATGGATTCTTGTACCGTTGCCTGGGCTGGAGTATAATGGCTTGATCTCAGCTCACTGCAACTGCTGTCTCCCAAGTTCACGTGATTCTCTTACCTCACGCTCCTCAGTAGCTGGGATTACAGGTGCTCAACACCATGCCGAGCTAATTTTTTTGTATTTTTAGTAGAGATGGGGTTTCACCATGTTGGCCAGACTGGTCTCAAACTCCTTACCTCATTATCTGCCCGCCTTGGCCTCCCAAAGTGCTGGGATTACAGGCCTGAGCCACCATGCCTGGCCTAGGCAACCATTAATATACTTTCTGTCTCTATAATTTGCCTATGCTGAACATTTCATATAAATGGAATCATACAATATATAGTTTGGTCTCCTTAGATTGTTTTCAAGGTCTATCCATATTGTACCATATATCAGTACTTCATTTATTTTTATTAACGATAATATCTTTATATGGTTATACTACATTTTATTTATCAGTTGATGAATATTTTGGTTGTTTCCATTTTATGGCTATGATGAATAATGCTGCCATGAATATGTGTGTACAAGTTTTTGTGTGGGCTGTGGGCTTATGTCTTCATTTCCCTGAAGTATATACCCACGAGTAGCATTGTTGAGTCATTTGATGACTATTTTTAACATTTTGTAGAACTGCTAAAATGTTTTCCAAAGTGACTGTACTATTTTATTTTGTTTTTTAAAGAAAGGTCTGCAGTCTGACTAATATGTGAAACCCCGTTTCTACTAAAAATATAAAAATTAGCCAGGTGTGGTGGCACATGCCTGTAGTCCCAGCTACTTGAGAGGCTGAGGCAAGAGAATCTCTTCAAAGCAGGAGTCGGAGGTTGCAGTGAGCTGAGATCATGCCACTGCACTGCAGCCTGGGCAACAGAGTAACACTGTCTCAAAAAAAAGAAAGAAAGAAAGAAAGAAATAGACTTTTAGGCTGTGTTAAAAGTGCTTAGAACTGTTTTAGACACAAAAAGTAAGTACCAGTATAAGGAACCCAGAGTTTACTCCTGGTTTTGCTGTATCCTTTGTGCCTTTTTAATACCCAAGTCTGAAAATATGTTCTGCTTTTTAAATAATTGTTGAAGTAGACTAGTAAGCTAATTATTTATCGAAATCTTCTATAACTAGATTTTTTTTTCTTTTTTAATAGATTATAGATGTCATAGATAAGGAACTAATTCAACCTTTTGAGATTCTGTTTGAAGGAGTTGAATATATTGCCAGAGCTGGATGGACTCCTGAGGGAAAATAGTGCGTATGTTAAATTGTTACTTCTTTACAACTAATTTAGGATCCAGAGCTTTGGAATATTTGTGCTATTAGGCTTGTCTTGTAGTTGGAGATGCCTTCACATGTAAATTTGCAGCATAGTTATTACTGCACAAGGCATTTTTCTTGAACTAAGTGGATTTGTGCATTTGTAATCCTATAAGCTTAGGTACACCACAGTTTAATTGTCTATAGTCAGCCAGTTACGGTTCATGATGTTAGTTGGGATTAAATTGTATGACTTTAAGGCTTACATATAAATGTATATATTTTTAAATTGTATAATTATAGAGCTTCATATGAGGATGATTACAAATAAATAATTTCTGTGTCTAATGTAGACAACAGGAGTTTCACAAGACTGGCATTTGTTGACATTGAGAAAACTTTGTTTTGAGTCAGGGTCTTGCTCTGTCACCCAGGCTGGGTGTAGTGGTGCAATCATGGCTCACTGCAGCCTCAACCTCTTGGCTAAAGCTATCCTCCCACTTCACCCTCCTGAGTAGCTGGGACTACAGGAAAATGCCACCATGGCCAGCTAATTTTTTAAATTTTCTGTTGAGATGAAGTCTCACTGTGTTGCCAGGTTGGTCTCAAACTCCTGGGCTCAAGTGATCCTCCTGTCTCGGCCTTCCAAAGTGTTGAGATTACAGGTGTGAACCACTGCACCTGGCAAAACTTTTGTTTATATAGCCAGGGCCTCTCCCTGAGTCACCCAGGCTGTATTGCAGTGGCATGATCAGAGCTTACTGTAACCTTAAAACCCTAGCCCCAAGCAGCCCTCTCACCTCAACCTCCTAAAGTGCTGGTATTATAGGCGTGAGCCACCATGCCAGCCTACAGGGAGAAAACACTTTCGAAGGCCAACTATGCTTTTAAAAATTTCAGGAAAACCACTTTTTATAAATTCTATTCAAGCTTAAAGTATATTTTTAATTAACTGTTTGTAAGTGATAATTTAACTTATGCTAAAGCAGTTCTTTCATTGTGATTACGGATATAATTGATAGGTGCCAAAGGAGATAATAAGGGATAATTATTTTTCTGATAGTTTGCTTTATTTCTGATTCTTCTCTTTTATTTATTTAAATAGGGGATAATTATTTTTCTGATAATTTGCTTTATTTCTGATTCTTCTCTTTTATTTATTTAAATAGTGCCTGGTCCATCCTACTAGATCGCTCCCAAACTCGCCTACAGATAGTGTTGATCTCACCTGAATTATTTATCCCAGTAGAAGATGATGTTATGGAAAGGCAGAGACTCATTGAGTCAGTGCCTGACTCTGTGACACCACTAATTATCTATGAAGAAACAACAGACATCTGGATAAATGTATGCATTTTTTCCTGTACTTGTTTAAATACTTTTTCAGAATGCTAAAGCAGATGAAGTTATATAGCAAACTATCAAAATGCATTTTTTTAAAGTTTAAAGGGACCATGAATGTTACTTCTTTAGTAGGAACATTTCAAGGAGTGATGGTTCCAGAATGGAATGGTTTGTATTTGATAGAAAGTAGATGCCATTGAAATGGCGTCTCCTTGGCTTCATATTTATTCCTGTATCAGATATTAAATTCCTATATCAGATATTAAATACACAGCCTCATCAGTGCTTCTGAGAGGACCTCATTAATCTGGTCTAGGAAAGACTTTCTCTTTGATGTTGGCAAACTACCAAAATAAACCAATTTTTAATTGAATTTTTAATTTTCAAATTTAGCAGAAAAATTTAAATAAGATACAAAATAAATGAAGCTAGCTCACTTCCTAGGTGAATGTAAGCTTCATATGATTCCCCTATGAACATCTGTTTTCCCTTGAACTATTAGAAAAATTCTCTTTGGAAAACAAAAGTAAAAAAAAATTTACCTCATCATTCTTGAACAAGATTTATATTATTAAACAACCTTGCTCCATGTTTCAGGGATTACAGAGATGTTGAGTAAGGAAAATCTTTTGGTCATATTTTTCTTTTTTACTCCATTTGAAAACATTTATTTCTCAGTGGATAAAGTCTTTGACTAAAGTAAAATAAATCTGAAAGTCCCAAGCAAAACTCATTACTGTAAATATAGCATTCCTGTGGCATTGATGGTTTTTTATATTTTAAAGTATGTTTATCAAGTAATTTTTTCTATAGCCCAATTGAATTATGTAGTATTTTCATTAATGTGTATAGTAAATTTAGCTATTCATTTTGCAGATCCATGACATCTTTCATGTTTTTCCCCAAAGTCATGAAGAAGAAATTGAGTTTATTTTTGCCTCTGAATGCAAAACAGGTTTCCGTCATTTATACAAAATCACATCTATTTTAAAGGAAAGCAAATATAAACGATCCAGTGGTGGGCTGCCTGCTCCAAGTAAGAAATTCTATTTTATTTAAAAAAAAAAAAAAGGAAAAAAATGTTGGGGGCAGAAGGTGGGAGGGACAGGGAATATATCTTTTCTATACTTTTTAAGCATCAGTACTAGCTTCATTAAACTTAATATATAAGTTAAACCAACATATAAATACATGCATGTGTAAAAACACAGGACAAAGTTCTTAATGGATGGACACGTCTTATAAACTATTAATAGTGAATAATCTCTAAGTAGTGGAATTACTTCTTTTTTTAAAATTTTTATTTTTTGAGATGGGGTTTTACCATGTTGATCAGGCTGGTCTTGAACTCCTGACCTTAGGTGATCCACCCTCCTCAGCCTCCCAAAGTGTTGGGATTACAGGCATAAGTCACTGTGCCCAGCCAAGTAGTGGAATTACTGATTTTTGCTTTCTACTTTTGCCTTGACTGCAAATTTTAATTTGTTTAAATTAAAATTGTAATTTGTTTAAAGTAAGCCTATTTTAAAAAGCTATTTTTGTCTAGGAGTGGTGGCTCACACCTGGCCAACATGGTGAAACCCCATCTCTACTAAAAATACAAAAATGAACCGGGCATGGTGGTATGTGCCTGCAGTCCCAGCTTACTCAGGAGGCTGAGGCTGTAGAATTGCTTGAACCCAGGAGTCGGAGTTTGCAGTGAGCCGAGATCACATCACTCACTGCACTCCAGCCTGGTGACAGAATCTCAAAACAAAGAAGAAAAACCACTATTTTTAAAATGTTATGTAGTTATTAGATTTTTTTTTTTGTTATTAGATATTTTTACACACTAGGTGTTTCTTATACTATGTGCAACTACACTGAAGTTAATTTATACTTTATAGGTCTTGGATTGATATAATTATGTTGCCCAAAGTAAAATTGAATATTGTATGAGCTGAAGTTAATTTTTCTTTAAAAAGTGGTTTTCCTTAAGTGGAGGTTTTCCTTCTGGGAAATATAATATGGAATGGATGTGTAAGCCTAGAAAAAGTGAACGGGCACGTAGAACACTTTTCCCAAGTTTTCCTAAAACTGAGTTGCAGTTCTCAACTTTAATATTAGTTTGTTTTAGAATAGGAAGCACTTTGTGATAAATTATGTTGTATGCTTAACTGCCATTTGTAACTTAGCAGACTCAGCATGGCCCTTTTAAAAAACTATGGAAAAATATACGTCAGATTTAGCATTGTGACCATTTTTCCATTTTTAAGGGTACATATAGTTTAGTGACATTGAATATGTTTGTTTATATGTATAGGTGTCTATATACATATATATAGATATACATATAGATAGAGAGAGAAAATTTTTTTTTCTGAGACGGAGTCTCACTCTGTTGCCCAGGGTGGAGTGCAGTGGTGTGATCTCGGCTCACTGCAACCTCCACCTCTCGGCTTCAAGATTCTCCTACCTCAGGCTTCCGAGTAGCTGGAATTACGGGCATGTGCCACCATACCCAGCTAATTTTTGTATTTTTAGTAGAGATGGGGTTTCACTATGGTGGCTGGACTGGTCTTGCACTCCCGGCCTCATGTGATCCATGAACCTTGGCCTCCCAGAATGCTGGGATTACAGGCGTGAGCCACTGCACCTGGCTGAGTACGTTCATATTGTTGTGCGGTCATTACCACCATCTGTCTCCAGAATTTTTTACATCTTCCAAAACTGAAACTACCCATTAAACAGTCACTTTCTATTGCCTCCTCCCTCCAGCCTCTGGCAGTTACTTTCTGTCTCTATGAATGTGACGACTCTAGATGACTTATTTAAGTGGAGTAATACAATTTTTGTCCTTTATTGACTGGCTTATTTCACTTAGCATAATGTCCTCAAGGTTCATCCGTGTCATAGTGCGTGTCAGGATTTCCTTCCTTTTTAGGGCTGAGTAAGGTTTTGTTGTATGTATATACCACGTTTTGTTTATCTGTTCATCTGTTGATGGGCACTGGGATGGTTTCCACCTTTTGGCTATTGTGAATAATGCTGCTATGGACGTGGGTGTACAAGTATCTATTTCTGTCCCTGATTTCAATTCTTTTGGATATATACTCAAAAGTGGAATTTCTGGATCATATGGTAATTCTATTTTCAATTTTTCAATTCTATTTCAATTTTTTTCAATTAGGTAGCAGTTGCTACTACCATTGGTGTTCCAATGGTGTAGCTCCTATGGGAAACAGTATAGTCCATACTGTTTTCCTGTGTACTAGTGGGAATGTAAAATTAGGTAGCAGTAGCCACTACCATTGCTGTTCCAATGGTGAAGCTCCTATGGAAAACAAGCTACACCATTGAAACACCGATGGTAGTAGCTATTGCTACCTAATCTTACATTCCCACTAAAGTGCACAGGGTTTATAATTTGTTATTTG